GAGAAAACTAAAAGCAAATTCACCCCAAACAACAAAATGCATCCTTGCACTTGCACTGTGTCCCATTTACCAACACTCATAGAAAGAGTTCCTTTATAGGTTAGCTCATTCTTTCAATTGATATGTATTCATAGTGATCCAGACTACCACTGTATGTATTTTCAAGGCATTTTACTGTATAGTTTTGGAGAAAACTAAAAGCAAAATCACACAAAACATCGAACTCCATTGTTGCACTTTGATTATTTCCGCATATTCCAACACTCATATAAAATGTTCCTTTATAGGTTAGCTCATTCTTTCAATTGATATGTGTTCAGAGTGAGCCTGACTATCACTGTCTTAATGTTCAAGGCATTTTACTGTATAGTTTTGGAGAAAACTAAAAGCAAAATCACCCAAAACATCAAAATCCATTGTTGCACTTCGAACTGTATCCTCTAGGGGTCGCTATGGGGAACGCCTCGTCATGACCCGTGTCTGAAGCATACATTGAAAAAACACCAACTCGTTGGCCGGCGACAGCCATGACGTCACTACCGGTGCGACTATAGTATAAATAGGCGCCGGGAGCTACACATCATTCTCTTCTTCGTCTTTATTGACTGTTTTGTTTGAAGCGTGCATTTCTGTGGTAAGAGCGATCTCTATTCATCTCATTATGGCGAGCACTAGCAAAGCATTTAAGGATGTGTGCATCCGTGTTGACGTTGTTTAAACATCTGATGACACACACGATCTATGCGTTGTTTGCGTCGCGATGTCTCCGAGGAGGCAATCGGCGTGCACTGCGAGCGTTTTTTCCAAGGGAAAAAGTTCCACTCTCGTTTGTCTCTCTTTTCGAGGAAAGAGGGGCAGCCATCTGCTTCCCGCGATTCAGACCTGCCGCTGCTGAGGCACGGAAGGGAATGAGCTCGTGGGGATCGCAGGTGGATCTGGCCGATGAGTTTGAAGGGGGGTTTCCCTTTCGCGATCGTCGGCTGTGCACGAGAGTGAGCCGCTGGAGGATGATGTTATTTCATTAACATTGTCTGATTCAGGGGCCATTGCTCTGCTGGGATCAGCCCAGCAAAAGCAGGAAATAGCTGAGGAGGGCAAAGACGCTGAGGCTGAGCCTTCCCAATCCTCCTGCCCTGTGTATGATGAGCTTTTGGAAATTATGGATCGCGCCACAGCGAGGCTTTACTTGCCGTGAAGCGGGTGAAGAAAGTGTACCCCACCCGCGGGTTGGGGTTAGGAAGAATCTCGGGTCAAAGGAAGGTGAGTAAAAGACCTAAAGGATGTGATCCAGACAGGGCGTCAATGCTTTTGTCCGGATCAGAGTGATATCTCATTTCCTTCGGGGGGTCTTACATCTGCCCTTATCTTCACCTTCCTAATTCCCCTGTAACCACCATCGCTCCACCTGACGAGGTTAGGTGGGAAATGTCCTGCATTATAGTCTCCTATACTGGACCTATTAGGTTTGGTTGGTTCTATGGCTTCATAGTGACCATCTTACCGATGGTTCGGTCTAGAGGCTTCTCCAGACAGAGCTCCGACGCGGGAACCATGGTGGGTGAGTACGATCCATGTCTAATATATGTATATATGAATATATATGTGTATCTAATGAGACTGGTGGTTGTGTGTATAACTCTTCTGCTAGTTTCTTTGCAGTGTTTCCCGGGACCTGTGTGTTTCTGTCCCTTTCTAGGGTAGGTCCTCGATGGGCACCTCTGCTGGGTTCAGAAACCGGGTGCTCAACTTGCAGTGCTTATTTTCACTCGTCGATATATGTCCAGACAGTAAGTAAAGCCGGTTTTCGCATTTATTGAGTGAGGGTTTCCAGAATTTGCACCACACATGTAGTCAGCGTTGTGCTTGTTTCGCAGGCGTGGCTGATGAGACGGACGGAGTGCAGTCCGTGTCAGTTTCAGTGACGGAGGGAGATCCTGTCACTCTATGCATTGATGCTGAAATACACAAAGATGCTCTGATGCTCTGGAGGTTTGGAGATCAAGGAATCCTCCTCGCTAGAATCGATACTGAATCTAGCGAGGTCTCATTAAACGATGCCGATGAGAGATTCAGAGGTGCACTGCAGCTGAATCAGAACGGATCTCTGACTATCAAGAAGAGCAGAAGTGAACACGCTGGACTGTATGAGCTGCAGATCAGAGGCCGTGAGAGCGCGCAGAGATTCCTTCTTTCTGTCAATGGTGAGGAACTGAAAGAGCACGTCTTGGCATGCAGTATTTCAAGTCATGTGACTGACACCTTGACTGTCTCTCTCTCTATAGCTGTCCCAGATCCAGGTCTTTCTTCAGGTGCTGTAGCAGGAGTTGTTTTTGGTGTTTTAGTTCCAGTTTTGCTGCTTGTGGCTGCAGCTTTGGCTCTCATTTACTATCGCCACAGGATCGCTAAATTAAAAAAGCAAATGGGTAAGTATTATATACTTCAGACAGGATTTCCATCTCCTCCAAACTTGGTAGAACTGCATTTCATTATTTTGAGTCACTCGTTTGTCCATTTATTTTAGAGTCCAGTACTCTGAAACTGTAGTTTAACAAGCTACTTGCCTTCAACTGCTGCATTTCAAATACATGAGCCAATCGCTGATTGGTAAAGTCATC